CTCTGCCTGTCAGCAGCCGGGGGGAGCTACCCTGCTCTCCAAGCATCAACTTGTCCCCATCTGCTTCAGCCCTGCAGGTCCCTGGGCACCTTCTTCCTGAGTTTGTTCCCCATCTTTTCTTGCTTGAAGGCAGCATTCCTCAACCAGACGGTCTGGGGAGAAAGGGGATTTAAATGGCAAGAAAGTGCTATTCCAGCCTGAAGCAAATAGAGTCTGAGTCCTTGCACCCTCCCTCATGCCCAGATACAGCAGATTTTTGCAGAGTCCAGATTTAGTTCAAATCTTACAGCAGATTTAAAGAGCAAGGGAAATCATAGCTGACTTTGGGCCATGGACCTAGAAAGGAGCTGATGGCACATTAGAGAGCAGCAGTGGCCTGTATGTTAGTCATCTTGGAAGTGATTTGACAGGGGTTTGTTTTCCCCTTTGTTTTATTTTAGCAACCAAACTTCAAGCAGAAATTTGTGGCTTTGCTGAAGAGGTTCAAAGTGACGGAGGAGGTAAGAATAGGGAAGGCTACCCCACCTATAGATGTCAGAGGGCTGGTTTCCACTCACTGGGAGCACAAGGCACAAGGTGCATGGTGTTCAGGGTGTTACCAAAGGTGGTGTGGGACGCAGCGCAGACTGGGTCTTGGGTTTTCCAAAGCCTTCTTGCCTCAAAAAGGCAGCTCTGAGCCTCGTACTCAAGTCAAACCCACCCTCCTCTTGGGGAGAGGGGTCAGGGGAGGGAGGATGATGTCACCTCATTCTTCTACAGCCTGGATTTGTCTCCCTGAGGTGGGAATGGTGCTGTGGTGTGTGCCTCATGGCTGGGAGGGAGCTTGTACGTGTCCGGCCTGGGATTCAGATGACTCCATATCTGTCACTGCTCTCTGGGCTTGGTCCCATAGGTCCTGGACTCTGACCCTGTAGACCAGACCCAAGAGGTGGAGGAGGACTTGGGCTTGCTCTATGACAGCCTGGAGGAGTGCAACAACAGTGACAGTGGCCCAGAGATTGAGGACAATGAGAGTGTGCACAGCACACCCAAGCCCACCCTGAGGTAAGGGTTGCAGGGAGTCACAGGCTGACAGGTCTGTGGGGCCTGGAGAAATGCCCTCTGACACTTCTGTATTGCTTGGGCTAATGTAAGCATTACCTTGTCTCTACTCCCATCACCATCTTCTGTTGGCATCATTTGAGCTCCTCACTTGCCTATCCTGTTTAACAAACTCAAACCTGCCCATTAAAACTGGCTTCCTTCACATCTAGTCTCATCTAATTTCCTACCATCCCATCATCTGACATTTACTGACCTGCTGGAAGAGTACCTACTTGATCTGAGCCAACAGCTCTCCTATCTTTCATCTGACAGTCTTGGCTTTCTCAAGGCCCTCCCCACTGAAACATGCCTGTCTTTTGAGCATTTTGTGACTGCTTGGGCCAGTCCTTGTGTCCCTGTGAGATCTGCATGCTGCATTCCTACCCTTTGTGGTGACCATCAACCATCAGTGATGTTCCTCACTCCATTCCCCAGGCACCCGGTGGCTTGACTTGCTCTGCCAAGAGCTGCTGGCTTGTCACAGAGGTGCCCAGTGGACCATGCAGTGAAAGCAGGCTTCTCTCCCATGTGCTCTGTGTTCACCTGGCCTCTCTGCTCGTGGCTGTTCTGTTTCCCTGCTGTCCTCTTGTGAGAAAGTTGCCTTTTATTGTCTTTATACTCAGCTGCCTCACAGTGCACTGGGTCTCTTCTAACCAAGTGAAGCTTGCTTGTCATTAGTGCTTCTACAGTTCTCTATTTAAATCTCATTTGGATTAGTTGGAATCCCTGCTGAAGGTGCTTAGGTAGAGGTAGCAGACTTGGTCTGCCACAGGCAAATTAGTGCTAAATCTGCTGGATTTAGGAAGCATGGGGCAGTGGGGAGGAAACAGGAACACCACAGAAGCCATGTTTTTCACAAACCCACAAGTGGTTGTGAAGGAGACAGCAGGCATGTGGGCAAGGTGGTCTGCTGGAGCTCCAAAAGCAGTTTCACAGGGTCTCTCATCAAAGGAAACAAAGGTGCTGTGGGAGAAAAAGGAAGGTCTTTTTGTAGTCAGATGATGGTTTGTGCATATAAACTGTGTAAAACTATATAAGCTGTAAGAAAAGTATGTTGAGAGGATTTGAACATAAGACCCAGCCCTGGTTCTGCAATTGCCTGCTTGCAAGCATCTGGTCACTGGGAGGGCATCCCAGAGTTTGTGCTGGTTTGTACTTGTACCTGCCATTACAGTCTTCCTCAGGTGTTTGCTGCTGGCTCTGGTGGAACAGCCTTTTGGACTCTGGGCTGTTTCTCAGCCTGTTCTCTAAGCGTCTGTCTAGCTTGGTTTGGTCTGGCGTGCCTCGGTTTCTGGCAGTGCTGTGTGTGTATCCCCTTGAATTCAGATCACTGACTCTGTACTCTTCTGAAGAAGATGTGGGAGCTGACTGCCAAGGTGGTTAGTGTAGACTGCGTGGTTCCAAGCCTTGCATAGCCGCCTCAGCTGGTGATGACCTTCCAGCCCAGCCCGTAAATTCAAGATGTGATCCTCATGTTGGATTGATTTATTCTCATAGGCAGCCTTGGTAGACACTGTGAATGTCTGTGGATCAAGGTAGTCCTTAAGGGTCAGCAGTAGCCAGTGCCTTAGGTTGGGCCAGTGGTGCTGGGAGTAGAGAGCCAGGGAGGCTGCCCTGCACTGGGTTGAAATTGGAGCTAGAAATGAAGCTGCTGGGTCAGTTAGAGGCTTTGATTGAAGAACAGAGGGGAAAGACCAAATGTCTCCATAGGTGATTGTGAGAATGGGTCGGGGATAAGGGGCTGATACATTGCAAATAGGAGGAGGCTGTTCAGAAGGGCTAGGATTTACCTAAATCTCAATCTGCGGAGGCTCAGGCTCAATCATGCATATGGGAGAGCCTTTAAACTGCAGAACAGGCAGAGCTGAGAACTACAGAAGACATCCTTAGTACAGAAGACATGCTTAGTGTGACACATCCTTGAGGGATGAAAGCTTCTGAATTGCAAGTGAAATAGGCCAGAAACAGACACAGGGGAAGGGGGAGACACCCTGTTTAAATGGGGTGCTGAAAGCCAGACCAAGCGTATACAACTCCAATGTCTAGGAAAAAGGAGAGGGTGACAATACCTTTCTGAGGTGCCAGTGGCGCCAGGGGTATGTCTCATTCTGGTGGGATTACTGGGGTGGAGTAGTGGACTGTGGGAGAGATGCTGATTGAGGGGTGAATTATCAGAAAACGTACATATTTCTCTGGTTTGACTCTTAAGACATCAGCACAGTCTGTATGGGTTGAAATTGCTGGCTGAGGAAAGGCAAGTGTAGACTGTACAGAGGGGTGACAGTGCCTGAGATCCTGGAGTAGCAAGTGGGATGGGTGGAGAGAGCTGAAATCTGTTAGTAACAAACAGGGGACATCATTTATCCCTGTGTGACCTCGAGAAAATGTCGCACCAGGGCACAATTCTGACCGTAAACCTGGAGCTTTGGTAAGTGAACATGTCATGAAGCAGCTAGTCATGGAGCCAGCGAGAAGAAAACCAAGCCTTGGCTTCTCCTAGCCAGTGCACAAACACTACTGCTGAAGAGCTGCTCTGGGGTGGGGACCATCATTTACTGAGGTGAAATGTCCTTGTAGGAGTAGTGAAATCAAAGGAACTCTTGTGCCTGGCAGCACAGCGCTGTACACAGGTGAGGAAAGATGTTAAAAGGGAAGTAAAAGGAGCAGCCAGGATGTTCAGAGGTCTGTAGGTATCCTGCAGAAAGCTGCAGATAGGTCCAGATGAGTGCAATGGAAAACAATGGAAACTCTCGCAGAGTCCTAACAGAACTGCTCTATGTCCTACACCTCTGAGGCCATCCCTGGAAACCTGCAACTTGGTATCCCCATTTGCACACCAGGCAAATCAAGAGGAACTTTTCCTGGGAGTTAGTGAGTAAATACATACTTAGCTTAGAGGGGAGCTAGCTCAGATCTCCTTCAGGGAGGTCACACATTGCAGGTGGGCTGCAGTTGCTGCAAGTGTCCTGGGAAAGCTGGCAGATGAGATCCAGTGATGGAGCCTGCTTGTTTCTTAAAGACTGGTCTTTGAGCAGCCCACGGGATGTGGAGGCAGTCCTTGGCAAATAAGTAACAGGTGGAAAAAGGGAAAACAAAGGTGGAAGCTCACACCCTGGTGTCAGAGACAGTCCTGTTCCCGTAAGAGAGTTCCTGTGGTGACCATTGTGATTTGGGAACAGGACCTTGGAGTTGCTCTGTGTGTGTCTATCAAAACATCAGCCAGAGATGTAAAAAAAGGCAAATTTAAGTGCTGGGGAACAAAACAGGTCATTGCTGTGCTACTGAGGAGTGGTTCTGTATGGAGGTTCTGTATGCTGTGGTCTTCAGGGCCTCGGGAAAGGGGAAAGCAGAAAGGGAAGGTGCTCAAGTGTGCAGCAGCAGTGGTCAGAGGAAAGGAGCCCTCCTGGAAAAGGGAGAGCAGAAAGCAAGGCAACATATATCTGTGGAAGCCGTGGTGGTGCCTCTACAGGGGCAGAGGTTCGGCAGCGCGATGGAGCTGTGGTGTTGACAGACACCATATGCCAGTGAGATGGGGCAAGGTGGTGACTCCTAATCCTGCACTGCAGAGGTGGGGGATCACCGAGAGAGGAGTCACTGCTGGCTGTGAGGCAGGGACCCCAGCTCCCTGAGGTCTGGGATGGCCCTGGCCTGTCCCTGCACCCAGCATCACTGCAGCAGACCCTGGTGTGTGGGGCTGGCAGGTCCACTCCGAGGCTGCACATCACTTGGACACTTGGCTGTCTGGCCCACCAGGGACCTCTCCACAGTGCTCTGTGGTTGGGACAGGCCAGCAGGGATGTGCTGGGATCATGGTGACTTTGTTCCTCTCTTATTCCTGCCTTTTTCTCTCCCATCTGTCTGTCTGTCCGTCCGTCCGTCTGTCTGTTTCTCTGCAGGCGTTTCTTTGAGGGAGTCTCTCATTCTGGTTCCCAGACTGAGATCGGCAGTCTGCACAGCCAGAAAGGGCAGGATCAAGAGGCGGGCAGCCCTGTGAGTTACACCACCACCACCAGCACCTCTTGACCCCTTCCTTCCCCAGCCAGCCCCACATCCCCACGGTGCCTGCAGCTCCCTCTGAGACCACAGCTCCTGGCAGCACCTGCCTGGGGCTGCTTCTTCCCTTCCTTCCTCTTCTTTTTCCCAGTCCAGGCAGATAGATAGTGATGGGGGGCATCCTCTGGGGCTGGTCCCAGGGGACACTGGGCTCCCCTGTGGGAGCCAGGCATGGGTCACTGTCCACTGCCCCACTTAGGATGCTTCATCCTTCCCTGACCCCAGTCCCTGTCCCCCAGGGCGAGCCAGACAAGCGGAAGCCAGGAGTGCTGCGGCCACAGGAAGAGCCAGGAGTGGAAGTCCCTGCAGTGGTGAGTCCAAGCTATGAGATAGGGAGTTCCCTCAGGCCCATCCTTGCTTTTAGGGGTACTAGGGGTGCCCACCAGCCTGGGACCAGGGCTAGTGGGGGACAGGTAGATTGAGCTGGAGAGCAGCAAGAGTGGAAGGAGGGTTAGGGTCTGCAGGAGATGCATCCCAGACCCCTCGAGCCCTGCAGCCTTGGCTCTCCACAGGGCCACCAGGCCTATCCTTGATAGGGGCACCCATGGGTGCAGGAAACGGGGCAGGGAGAGCAGTTTGTGTGACATAACTGTGGCCCTCAGGAGCTGGCCACAGAGGAGCCATGTTCCCGGCTGGCCCCCGCAGAGACTGCCACAAGGGAGAGCAGTGTGGACAGGCTCGCCCAGCTGGGCCCTGGCACCAAAGCCGAGCTCCCCAGTGCCGTGTCCCCCAGGTAAGGCACATCCGTGCCCCATGCCAGGGCTCACACTGGCTCCCTGGAGCAAGTGGGGGTTGGTGTAGGTGGGATTTCCTTACCAGTGTTCCTCTCCTGCTCCTCTCTCACAGCAAGGCTGAGAGCAAGCAGCTGTGGCGTCCCCGCAGCACCTCTGTGAAGGACCGGCAGAGCTCAAAGGGACAGGGTGGCCGCACCAGCAGCCTGGACAGCGAGAGCTCTCCAGACTCGTGGCACAGCACTCAGGTGAGCCCAAGGGAGCCACCTCACCTGCAGGCTTCTCAAGAGCCTTGCTGGTCCTTCAGCCATGGGCAGAGCAGCCCAGGCAGCAGCTGGGGTTGAGTTTTGTGGTGACACTGTTGTAGGTGCCCCGAAAGTCTGTTTATGATCAACTGAACCAGATCCTTGTCTCCGATGAGCAGCTTCCCGAGAGCATTGTGCTGGTGAATGTTTCTGAGTGGCAGGGCCAGGTGAGTAGTGTGATGGGAGCTGAGTGCTGTAACCAGGGTCCCAGCTGAATGCAGACACCTGAAAAGGCACAGAAGGATTTTGGAGTGCCACAGTGGGAAACAGCAAGAGAAGGGAATGAGCAGAAGGGGACTGAGCTTAGAGCTGGACCCTGCTGTGGAATAGCAGGATTTAAATCAGAGGGTCCCTGGAACAAACCCTTTATCTCAGGGAGCAGAGCCTGGTTCTTGGTTCAGTTTTGCCCTTGCCATTGCAGGGAGGTGACTGCTGTGCTCAAAGTGGGGCTTGGGCATCCACCCCCCTGGAACAGAGCCGGGAGGAGCAGGGATGCTCAAGCATGCAGCCAGAGGTGTCTGGGTGGTTTCAGCCTCTCTGCATGGGGACAGGGGCTCCAGATCTATCTCGGGGGACATAGGGGCCCGGGCAGGCATGGGCTGGTGCTGGCCAACCACCCTCCGGGTGCCTTAACCCGAGCACTCTGCATTGCAGTATGTGAGTGAGCAGCTCCAGGCGCACAAGCAGTTGGTCGTGTCCACCTGCTCCGTGGCGGACATCCAGGCAGCCTTCAACACCACTGTCTCCCGCATCCAGCGATAGTGAGTACAGCTTGGGCTCAGCCTGGTGTGACTGCAGAGAAGGGCTGGGAAGGGCTCTGGTTTCCCTAGGGCTCGGTAGGATCCTTTGGGATTATGAACATAACTATAGGAGCAGGTGTAGGCCCTGGGGAAAGAGCAGGACCCCAGTGCTGGTTGTGCCCATGGCAGTGCTCAGCAAGCTGAAAATTGTCAGCAAGGAGTTTCTGGTGCTGGGTTAGGGCTGACCCTTCTGCTGAGCCACTGCTTGTCCCTCACTGTGTCCGTTCCTCTCCCTTTGGCAGCTGTAACTGTAACTCCCACATGCCTCCCCCAGTGAAGGTGGTGGTGGCAGGTGACCAGAGCTACCTGAGCGTTGTCCTGCGTTTCTTTGTGGAGCAGCTGGCCAGCAAGACTCCCGACTGGCTCAACTATCTTCGCTTCCTGCTGGTGCCACTGGGTGAGAGCCCCCATGAGCCCGGCCTCAGGGTTGTCCTCTCCCTGGGCTTTCCTGCCTGGAGCCAACCTTGCCCTTCTCACCCACAGGCTCTCACCCTCTGGCGAAGTACCTGGCCTCGGTGGATAACAAGTACAGCACTCTCTTCCTGGACACAGCATAAACGGAGCCACCCAGCGCAGGTGAGGAGCGGGGCTCAGCCGTGCTCTGAAGGGGGCCCCAGCTGCCACCAAGTCCCTCATGGCTCTTTGCTCCCACAGACACTGTGGACATCGCGGGCCGTGTTGCCCAGTTCATCGCTGGAGCCAGCCTCTCTCACCAGCTCCCCATCTCAGAGGCTATGCTGACCTACAAGCAGAAGAGGTGAGCATTGCCCCAGAACATCCATCCTGCCTCACATGGCCCCGGTCTGGGGATAGGGCAATGGGAGATGGGGAACAAGTGAGTGAGGCCCTGTGCTTTCCTCCATGCTGAAGGGAGTGGGGTTCACAGTGACAGGCCTGCAGTGCTACCCCCTGCCACCCCCCGGTGCGCTCAGCCCTCTGACAGCCCC